ATTTACTATCGCTTTATACCAGTAATAATTATTTAGGGGAGACCGGGGCGAAGTGGAACGGTGGGGCAAAGTGGAACGGCGGGGCAAAGTGGAACGCGGGGCAAAGTGGAACGGTAGCAAATTTTGGTCTTGTAGGGTCAAACACGCTTAAGGGTCAAACAGGGAAGTAATCGGAAGGACCAACAGTTTTTGATGGTCAAATAAAAAAAATCACTACGACTTGTAACCATATTTCGAGTAAGAAGTCTTAAATTAAGAACCGTTGGGTTCTTGAGGGGGTACCAAGATGAAACATGGGAATCTCCAGTTGATAAGAATATTGGAGCGACTCTTAGTATATTATGAAGTATTTAAAATAGTAAGGAAAATTTTCAGGCTCAACCCATTTTGCTCCTTACGTGGAGGTAAAACCTCGTGTTTCGAGGTTTTAGCTTATAAATGCTCCTCGCACCACGATTTTCATTCCACTTGAACTATTTCTTTTCAATGTTCGTTAGATTCCATAGAATAAAACTATTTTTCTTTTTTTTTCAATTCAGTAACGAAGCGGTAAAACCGTTTAAGGATATCTTTTATAGTTTAATACAGACCACAGTATAGATTCAACAATTTTCAATCATCACATTTGTCAATTAAATTGCGTGACAATTTTTTTTAAAAAATCATGGATATTCAGCGTCATTCAAGTTATAATTTTGTAGGGAATTATCATTTTTTTAAACATTCCCTTCTTATAAATAATTAATTGAAATTGTTTAAACTTTCAGATACCTTATTTTTTAGGCATGGAATCGATTTCTGATAAAATTCTGAATATGAATAAATTTTTTGCCTTTCCGAACAAATGTTTTTTATCGTGGAAAATTGATTGTTGATAAATTTTTTTTTAAATGCTCGTAATTTTAAAAAATTTCAATTTTTCAATTGTTTTATGAATTCCTCCAAAATTAAACTTTTTAATTTTTTTTCACATTTTGAAAATATTTTCTGACGGTTCAATATCGAGATTCACATTCAGACCTTCACATTTTAAATAATAATATCATTGCAAAATGTCCTGAAACTTAGGGTCAAATGGAGCTAAAATGAAAGCTCTGATATTCGACGACAAAAGTAGAAAATCATTTCACTGAACAAAAAATAGCCGAAGCACTTGGACATCCTTAAGTTGACTAATCCTTCACCTGAGTGTTTGAGGAATATTTCAGAATCTAAGGTAAATAGCCAAATTTTCGTAATAACCTTTTTTGTAACTCGAATGACAATTATGGTACGAGGAGCATTTTGAAGACACATACCTGGAAAACTATGTTCTACCTCGACGTATGGGGCAAAATCGGTTGTACCCAAAATTTTCGTTACTTTTTAGGTATCCCTTAATCTATATACAGACTCGCTCAACGACTATCCCTATCAAACGAGGACTTACAAATTCCACCTGGGTTCGAAGTTTCACCCTGGCTGAAGGGGATATACACCACTGTTTGATCCTCAGAAACGTTTGATCCTTCATCTTTTTTCGACTAATAAAGATTTTTAAAAAGTTATTCAAAATTCGCTCGAATCTCGTTTTTGCTACCGTTCCACTTTGCCCCGGTCTCCTCTAATTAATGTGATCTAATACCATTATCACATTACTTTATTATATAAATATATAGAAAATCTATTTTTCATTTTCCTCCGCAGATACTCTGTTGTGCTTTTTTTCGCATTCAGCAAAGAATTGTTATCCTTTTTTTTAAGGAACTTCCGCAGTAAGTATAGTTGGTGAAAATTTCGAAATGGTATAAAGACGCAATATTTGGATCATATGTTGTTGAGTACATTCAAAAACTATTCCCAAAATTTCAAGTACCTTGTCCACCCCATTTTCGAGATATACATCGTCAAAAATGGAAAAAACACAAAAATTGAATGTTTGGCGATGCATATCTCAAAAATGGGGTGGACCAGGGACTTGAAATTTTGGGAATATCTTTTTAATGTGGTCAACAACATATGATCCAAATATTGCGTCTTTATACCATTTCGAAATTTTCACCAACTATACTTACTGCGGAAGTACCTGCGAAAAGACTTGCATTGTGAACCAAAATAAAATGTTATTATGAAATTATATCTCAAAAAATATAAAATAAACTAGAGAGTCACTAATGGGTCATAAGTTTAATCAATAAGATAATGTTATTTACCATAAAAGTCCTTTGATTCTATTTTTTAAGATATGTATATTACATATCTTGAAAAATACGTGTATTGTACATATGTAAATATTGATTGTTTCTTGAATAAAAACCTTGAAAAAAAAAGTAGAGCACCAGACCGGCAATCTGAAGGTCGCGAGTTCAATCCTCGCTTGGGCATTCCTCAATTTTTTCCGGAATTGATTCACAAATATCATAGTTGCCAGATTCGGCGACTTGTCGCCAAAATATCTGGCAACACAGGGTGAATGAAATGATATGTTTCTAGCTTTATGATCAAATAGTTGAATTATTGAAATTAAGTTCATTTCAGGAAAAATTGATTATTTAAACTCCGAAAAACTGTTCACTGCATGTTTTCGGTCGAGACAGTATATCCCGCATAAACGCGGTGAACGTTTGCCCTCAATTAACTTCATAAGTGAGTAAGAAGGCGTGTACTCAACCCGTCCGTCTTAGGGGCCCTATACAAAACTCGACCCACTGTGAAATGTCTCATTGAGTTTCCAACAAGACAGGTTCTAATAACATCAGTTACCAAAACGTCGTCTTCTCCAGAGAAAAAACAAGTGGGAAATTGCCCTTGCATCATATATAGTATGGTTTTTTTGCTAATAGATTAGCAATATGCTTCCGAACGGTCATTTTGCATACTAATTTTGTTTTTATTTTTCTATAATCATGATTGTTCACTTCTACAGTTTCGTATTCCATGTTATTGTTTTCTATGGAATTTTTCTTATTTCTCTTATTGTTTACGATCAATCATATTACCAAATCGGTTGTAATAATCAATCATTTTTTTGTATACTCTTTTAGGTTTTCACGACTTATTCTCAATTCTCATTTTATCCCTTCGTATTGCATTTTCTGAGGGGTGAAGGTAAATTTCACTTTTGAAAAATCTCCCTTGAATCATTTTTATGAGATAATTTGTGTGAGATTGGAGTGTCATGAATTTTGGTCTTTTTTGAAATACAATCATTTGTAGTTGGAAAATTTGTGCGTCACGTGACCGTCATTTTTTGGTCATATGACGCGATCTAAAAAATTACGGTCATTTTGCATCTCTAGGACTTACCCCAGGTCGACGTGGGGACCCCACGTGACCCCGGAATGATTTGCCAATGGGATTTCACGTTCCCGATGGCGGAAAAAAATTGAAAACCCGTTAGTTTTCGTGTGACAAGTTCTCGTCATTCTCGAATCAATTCTAACATCTCCATCATTTTATTCACACCTAATTGGATGCATTTAGCACAAGTTGCTGGGAAAAAGCATCAAAAACCGAAATTTCCAAAAAATTGATGAAAATTTTCCGAATTTTCAAAAATTATCTCAAACAAGATTTATCGAAACAGCTATCGTGATTATCTTTTAACTCTGACTTAGTAACGTTGAAACAAACATTTTAATCTATGATTGAATCCATTTGAGGGCGAAAATCCAGAGATATCTACAGTACTCTGATTAAAATTTTTTTTTTCTTTCTTCTGATTTTTCGAAAAATTAAACTGACGATGATTGCTATCACCTCCATCTCCGAACTCGGTCAAGAAGAGACCCCAACGATTTTTTTGAGCCGTCATTTAATGAATTTGNGGTGGTGGATAGGGCGCACCAATACCTACATTTGAGGGAAAAAAATTATTCGATTCCATCGCTTCCCTAGCGCACAATCGAAAAAAACGTTTGTTACATACACACGCACATACATACACACGTATGGACACGGTCTAAAAAATACATATTCGGACTTTTGGGGTCGTAATAAGTTCATATAAAACAAAAAATCAAAAACTTAAATTTGCATGATTACAATGCTTCCATTCGGAAGCAAAAAACAGTCATAATCGCCCCATCGGGGTCTCATGTTTATATCGGGATATAGTATGCATCATTTTGATGATTGATTCATGAAAAATGAAATGATTGTAAAGCAGTTCCCCATGAATATGAATCTGATAGAATGTCAAATAAAACACTGGCGTTATATGACAGTTTTTTCCACAATCCTCAAAACCGAAATGCAAGCGTTCTCAGCAATCGAAGAAGTCGTTACTGGACACAGTACAATCTCTTCGTTAATATCCTTCGTAATAGCATGCTTAGTACCTTATATACAACAATGAAATAGAACTATGAAATAGGACATGAAGAAAATAACAAACAACAAAAGTTGAAGGAATTTAAAAGAAGCGAGGGAAAAAATATTTTGATTATTATGTTGTATCTGAATGAAAAATGATGTTGATCTTTTACTTGCAATATAAGAAGCCCCTGATTCGTCGATTATTCTTCTTCAATGACATTAAGCAGTCAACTCGTTAATCTGCTGATAACTTGTTAGTACTAACGATAGAAGTAGTTGTGGTTTACGTAAGTCAATGCTCGATCTACTAGTCAGATATGGCCACACACACTGCTTCCTACTGGTGTTGGAGAAGTTGGATACGAAGGTGAATACCGAAAGTCGTGCATGCTGCTGAACAAACCTGAAGTCACTGATGTACATGTGTTATCGAACTCTTGGAAAATATCAAATACATGCAAAATTGATCGGATTATATTTCGGAACTTGGGATTGCCTGCTGCAGAGTGGCATTCGTTTTGCATATCGATGAGCTTTGAGAGTATGAAACGCATTTCGTTCCCTTCTGCACTTGTTTCTCGAGGTAATTGCATGACCAGGCGCTCAATTCTCGTGAATACCATATTTTGCGATGAATTGGAATGTTTATTACTCCTAAATACTCACGTAGAATCTTAACGACCATTAAAGAATTAACGTTTTACCTTTTTTTAAAAAATTCATCTTTCTAATATCTCCGCAACCACTGGAGACTTGAGAACTGAATTTTGATTTTTCGTCCACGAACTAGTTGACCGAAAAAACCTGTAAAAAAATCGAATTTTTTGATTGGAGCATCTAAAAAGTTATGCTACTTTTACAAAAAAAACATGAAATTTATAATTCCTGAAGAAAAAAAGACATTTCCAATAGATGAATGATTTTCACAGTGTTAGATGGAATCGTCGACTGTGCGATATTACCGATAACTCGGTAAATATATCCGGGCAGTGGAGAGTAAATTCGACAAATCTGGAAGTTAAATAACAGAGCGACAAATCTCTTGCAATATGGCCAAAGAATCACGTTTCGAATCAATACAGCGAATAATTAATCGAAATCGATCCTGAAGGGAATATTTAACTGTGAAGTTGTATAAGTAAATTCATCTTCCACAAATGACTGAAATGAAAGGAATGATCGATCATTCAGTTTAATTATTAGAGACGTCTGTAACAATGAAACCTTAAAATTATACCATCCTCATTACGATGTTAATTTAAACAAATACAGAATATATACTGTGTTCCGACAAAAATGATTAACACACATTTCCAGAATTTTCGGTTGTAACCTGATGCTTCATTAAAAACGTAGTTTATTGAGTCTGTCTTACATTCCAACTGTTCATATTGACTGCCTAAATTCCATTATCGCTCGATTGAAATTTCAATGGCATCATTAAATGACTCAATCTATGTCAAGATGTGAAATCTTATTGTGATTAGTCATCGATGCAAATCACACATTCATTCACTTTTCAGCATCTTTCTATACCCCATCTAATTCACTCAATATCATATCTGACGAGTTGGGAAAGGAAATACTTATTAATTTTCTACGTGAAATAAATGCAAATCAAATAATCAAAATGTGAACTAATAAAAATGATAAGATGTCATTGACATTGTTGAATACATAGGTAAAAATTAATTTGGAATAAAAGTTTCACGCATCACTTTCACCGATGGGATTATGCTCGTGCTTCATTTTCGACGGTTGAATACCCGGATAAAGAGTGTATATTTGCTATGAGTTTACTCAAGCCAATACCATAAATTATTTTTTTACATTTTCTGCCCATGCCGCGCGACAGACGTTCTCCATCGAGTGTCAAACCTTTTAATGTGTGAGTTACCTATCACTTCAAATGTTTTCAAGTCAACCATCAGTCTATAACCATTCACCTTCTTGTATTTAAACTTGTGTATGACAGAAAAAGAGAAAGATATTAAATAAACGCGTGGGTCTCCACGAGTTGTTCAAGGACTACCTGGTTAGACGAAGGCAGCGATTGGTCGCGACGCGACTGCGCAATACAGAGGTGCAAAGTAGCGGAGGAAGGTAAAGAGGTGAAGAAAAAAAATCACCAATGGAAAAAAACTATCAAAGCTCTCAAAGAAAATTTTTCAATTGACGGATTACAAATATCATTACAGCTGATGTGGAGGGAAAATAAAAGTTTATTTCAGTAGAAAAATGATAAACATATTGATTTCATTTTTTCACTAATCTCAATGCCAGAGATGAAAGAGACAAATCGAATAACGAAGACGAGACGTTAAGAAATAGCTTTCGTGTAGAAACAACTACTTTATTCGTCACACATAGTCAAAGCATCTGTGTACATATCAAAATGACGTCAGCCTTACCGGAAATGGAACGTAGGTAGCACTGCTTATTAAGTTTCGACGACAGAGTGAGGATCACTTGGTGTGTTAAGAATGAACGAATGAGTGAGATGGGTTTATGAGAGTAGTTTAGAGTGACAGTGGAGGAGGATGACGCGTTCAATTGTTTCCTCCGCACACGCGTGTCACAAGTGCCACGTACAAAAAACGACACACGGGGCTTTTCACCAAGTACCTACGTATGTTATGCCGAGTGCGGATGTTGTGGCTACTTCGCACTGCCATCAATATATATACAACTACAGTGAATGTGGGCATCTCGCCTATTAAATCAATGCCGCACAGAAAACAAATGTTCTCCTAGCGGATTTGTTTGAACTTTTGTTTCAATAATTTTAATTATTGTAATTGTTGACTGATTTGAAATTCCGAAAATAAAGTTTTTCAAATTTGAATTGGTATTATCTCTCATAACTTCAGTAAAAAATAGGAAATTCGCGTTATAAAATTGAAATGTTCTCATAATGGAAATTATTATTTTTCTCATTGAATATTCACGACAACTGATTAGCCTGACTTAATCTAATTCTCTGGCATCTGTTATAACCAACTGCAATTTGTAATTCGTCTTCGAGAATGCAGTAAATTAAAAATCAATTCAAAATAATATTATTGAAACAACCAGGCACTTCATCATTTCAAATTACATGGGTTGAAATAAAACCGAGGAAAAATGGATTATTTAAAATAAAAATTTCAGTCACAGCATCATCTGAATTTTCAATGTTGTGAGTTTGAATTCAATTTCAAATGAAAATGTTCACTAAATTTCTCATTCATCTTGAAAATTCCAAAAAATTGGATTTTTCATGTTAAACAATTATTGATTTTTCAAGAAAAGCTTGAATTTCCAAACTCATCGTGAAAATATAACATCAAATACAATTCAATTTTTAATAAATTGAAAATTCAGAGCAGTTATTGCCTGGATTTTCAAAATTTTCAAGATTTTTCAGTGCCGTCTGGACCTGAAAATCGGGAATTACTTGAATATTCAAGAAGTTAACTGATTCATCAATGAATAAATCTACAGAAATTTCATGTGACTTTGGTATTGTAAAAAATTTCAAGCTTTTTCCCTTGAAATTTCAAGAGTAATTTTTTAATAGTGGAGCCTATCGATTTATATACCCTATTATATACTTTATACTCTCACCTAAATAGACTAAATAGACTAAAGAAAAACCACAGAGTTCTCAAATAAGGCGTACTTGAGCCAAGAAAATGGTTTTTTAAGAATGATCACAAAAGGAGTTTTCGTGCCCAATATGCAAAGAGTGCGCCGAGATGAAAATTTTTTGTCGTAAAAATAGATTAAGTAATTGTAAGAATATGGCATTCTCTGTATTTCTTCATTATTCGATACTCTCACACGTATTTCGCTTCTGAAAAACGTTCGTTTTATGCGAAACAAGGGATAGTAATTTTTCGTTTGGCTATTCAATAATTCGAAACAAGAAATGAATTCTGAAATGAAACAATAATAATGATATGATAACAATCTTGTAAGTTAGGAACAATATATTTTTCATCACGCTGTGACGAAAAGTGAACTTTTCGGCACGCTCCGCGTGCCTAAAAGTCCAATTTCCGCCACATGGTGATGAAAAATATTGTTCGTAACTCGTGAAAAAATGTTTTTTAGCTCGTGGGATTATATCACTCGCCTTCGGCTCGTGATAAACCTCCCACTCGCCAACACGTTTTTGCACTCGTTACGAAATATACTATTTTGTCATTGCTGCTACGTTCAGTCCGTGTCGAAAAGTGCCTTTTCGTTTACTAGTAAACGAAAAGTCGAAACATGTAAACGAAAAATGGCACAGTTCGGCACTCGCTGAACGTAACATCACTAACAAAAAATATAGTTCGGATACACGTGCGACGGGGTGTTTTAACTCGTGTGATTGGCAGCCCTCGGCTTCGCCTCGGGCCGCCAACTTCACGCTCGTTGCCATCCCGTCGCACTTGTATCGAAATATACTATTTTGATAAATTTTTCTCCATATGAGATATTTTCATCTAGAATAGCAGGCATCATCTCGTGTGAATTACTCGCCTCTTGAGCGAATTATTTTGTTATTGTCGAAAGCAGAGCGATTATTCATGTTTGAGATTTTCAAATTCGAATCGAACAATTTCTTTTTTGGTAATTTTCAACTAGCAATTTTATTGGTCCAAACAAGATTTGTTTCAGAAACGTTTTTTTTTCTCTCATTGTATGAAACTTGGTCTCATTTTAGAATATGAAAGAAGAACTTCAAATATTGTTAATTCAGTAGCGAAGCGGTAAACCGGGTGAAGTCAATTTTGACTATTGGCCAGTTTTTAACAAATATCTCGGAATCTAAAAGAGATAGAAAAATTTTTGCTTCGAACTTTTTTGTAGAGCCGATTGAGGGCTTTAAAAAATGTCATGAGAAAAATATTACCATCTCTCTTCGATTCCGAGATATTCATAAAAAAACTGGCCAAAAGTCAAAATCGACTTAACGACCCTCTTTTCCGCTTCACTACTGAATTGCGTTGAAGTTCAATCTGTCGATCTCGCATTATGAACGATTGCAGATGGTCCATTTTGCGCCATTCCACTTTACATTAAATCTGCTAGTATGGCTCTCTGTTACAAGAGAGTCTCGGTGACTATAAATAAAATCTCAATCAGCGATCGAATCCTTCAGAGTTCATGTATACATGAACTCCTCTATTTATGCAGCATGTATATGAATATATACATTAGCTTAAGGAGTTGTAGATATTTCTACGAGAGATTGTAGGAATGATTCGAAATTTTTCGAGAATTTTATTAATTTTTCATAGAAATCCCAAATTTGTATTCGATAATAATGCTACTGTATCATGCACGTTATAAAAATGCCATGGATTCGAGAATATTCTTCTTGAAATGAGAAATAATCAGGAAAGCACTATAAATAGTGTTATTGAAAAACCCAGAACATTTCATTCAGAATAAGGCGATGACTCAGTATGGTTATGAATATGATGGTTATCTGTGTGGTTTTTATGAGATAAAATTAATTTTTTGATATCTTAAAAACGATTACTGTGAAATAGATCGTCCTTTTGTTAAATTGTAATGAAATTTCCTTGGCCTTCCAATGGAACGTACGAAGAAATAGCAGATGGGTATACCCATCTCTATTTTTCTTTATCATTTCTCTACCATAGTAACACGGGATATGTATGATTAGCGACAAAATGAACGGTCATTTTCGATTTTGTTTTTCCACTACCCGGAAATTTCGACATAAAAAAAAATTCTGATATAACCTTTTGATTCATAATCTCAATGAAAAAATTTGTAAACCCCCAAAAAATGAGAAAATGTCTTCC